CCCTAGGTTTTTTATAGGAGTGTTATGGGAGACCATATCAAAGGCCTTTTTAAAATCTAAATATATGACATCAACCATGTCTCCCACATCTAAGCAGTTTGTTACTTGATCATAAAAGGAGACAAGGTTGGTCAGACATCACCTTCCCACAACAAAACCATCCTATCCTTCAGCATCATGCCTTCTACCAGTCTCTCACAAATGGACCTCTTGATAATTTTTTCCTAAATTTTATGCAGTATTGAGCTCAAACTGACTGGCCTATAGTTTCCCAGATCCTCCCTCCTCCCCTTCTTAAAGACTAGCACCACATTGGCCCTTTTCCAGTCTTCTGGGACCTCTCCCGAGCACCACAACCTTCAAATACCTTCCCCAAGGGTCCTGCAATGACTCTAGCCAATTCCCTCAGCACTCTTGTGTGTAGTCTATCCAATCCTGCTGACTTGAAGACATTCAGCTGCTCTAAGTGCTCTCTCACCAGTTCAACCCTGACCATTGGCTGGCAATCACGCTTCCTACCCTCCTCCCCCGCATCTGTCCTGTATCCGACCAGGAACACCAATGCACAAGTATTCATTAAATAGTTCGTTAAAGAGGTGAGAGACTTTCTTTTATCAGCTAAGAACTGCCTGCCCAGAGGAGTTTTCCATCTATTGACTCCTCTGTGAAATCCTATGAAATATGAACTTTGATTTCTACTCAGGAGAACTTTTTTCTCCAATGCCTGATGAAGGGTGTTTGTGCTCGAAAGCTTCCAATTAAAGATTTTTTTTGCAAAAATCTTGTTGGTCTAATAAAAGATATCACCTCTACCGTAAGCCCCGACTGCTTTTCCCTCTACACCAATATGGCCACAACCTGGATACCTGACACACAAAAGAGTTCAGCTTTCTCCTGGCTGTCTGTTATCAGCTGTCCCTTCCCATTCTGCAAGGGCCCTGCATTTCCTTTGGTCTTCTTCCTGCTCCCTATATACCTAAAGGACTTCTTATTGTTCTTGATTTCAATTGCCAACCTGATTTCAGTCACCACTCTTGTCTTCCTTATCCTCTCCCTACAAATACGGGCTATACTTGTGTATTCCTTCTTGGTGACTACTCCTTGTTTCCACTGTCCTTAAACCTCCTTTTTCTTTTTTAAGCACTCCTTGACTCCTCTGCTAAGCCAAGAGAGCTTCCCAGCCCCTTTACCACCTTTCCTGCATACAGGACTGGACCTTTTCTGAGCTCTGAGGATTGTTCCTTTGAGGAATGACCACCCTTCCTGAACTCCCTTCCCCTCCAGTCCCTCTTGCCATAGGGTCTCTCCCACTATTTTCCTAAGCTCATTGAAGCTAGCTTTCCTGAAGTCAAGCTCTTCTGCCCTACTAGCTGACTTCCCTACCCCACAATGGATACTGAATTCTATCATCCCATGATCATCATCTCCCAGACTACCCTCAGATCTCCCACCAGGTCATCCCCTTTGGCTAGAACCAAATCCAACAAAGCCTTCCCCCTGGTCAGCCTGTTCACCTCCTGTACTAAATAAAGTACTTCCACGCAGGCCAAAACCCTATGTGAGCGGTAAGATCTGGCCGAGTGCTCCTCCCAGCAGATGTCAGGGTAATTGAGGTTACTCATGACAGCCAAGTCCCTTGAATGTGGGGGCTCCATCATTTCTCTGGATAATTCCAGATCCCGCTCCTCCTCCTGGTGTGGCAGTCTGTAGTAGCTACCTACCATCAAGTCCCCTTCTCCTCGTCCCCCCAGTATCTTGACCACCAGGGTCTAGAGTCACCCTTCTCTTGAATCAATTTGGATCTCCAAGGAGGCATACTGCTCCTTTACATAGAGAGCTACCCCCTTCTTCCCTACCTGATCCCTTCTGTGTAGCCTGTAGCTCTCTATGCATACAGCCCAGTCATATGTGGTGTCCCACCAGGTCTCCATTATTCCAACGAGATCATATTCCTTATTTGCTAGGAGGAGCACCAGTTCCTCCTGCCTATTCCCCATACTCCTAGCATTTGTGTATAGACACTTAAGTCCCCCATTAGTAACCCCCAGCTCCCAATGTTCAGTTATAGAATGGCACCAATGGAGTATGTGTTATCACCTGCTGGCATTTTGCTCTGCAAAAATAAACATCTGCACTCCAAGAAACTGGTATCAGAATCGCTGGGAATCTGAAGATATAAAACAAGACAAGCAAGGCAGGAAAAAAATATGTTTTGGATTTTAGATGAATGCAAGGTACATAGAAAGAGGTAACACTTCCAAATCCCTGAAGGAAGAAATAAGGGGCACCACATCAGCTGTTTTTCTGAAGAAGATAGCAACCACTGCAAGCTGTGACAGCTGGGACAGGGCAAAATGGACTTACCTTCACCTGCCAGCAGAAGTGCTGATATCTCAAGAGATACCTGCAAGTCCATATAGCAATGCAAGGTGCCACAGGAACTAATGGAACATTATTAGTTAGAATTATGAGTATTGGAACTTTTGTATTTTTTTTAAATGTTTTGGCTGAGAAAGGAAGCTGTGGGGCCTGGACCTTTAAAGGCAGAATAAGCCAGTTAAAACTGGTTATTATACTATGCATGGGATCTTATAACAATGCTGAACAGTTAGAGAGTGAATGAAGTAGATGCCTTGTCAGTCCCCTTGGCTCTGATGAGTGATTGCTGAATAACACTCCCTCATGCAACTAGTGCCCTTGCTGCCAAGTAAGTAAGTACTCACCAGTGTACAAAGTTGGGAGCATTATATTCTCATGGCTTTCAGACCAATATATACCCCAAGAGTTATTCCAAAACACTCAGCAATTACTTTCTCCAAGGCTCCTTGCATCTCAAAGGATTATAAATCCCCTCCGGTCCACTTCTATGTATGGTTAATATACCTGGAGACTTGTTGATGAACCACCTCCCACAGAGTACTTTCATTCACAGCTGCCTCTTTCACCTCCTCCTATCACCTCCACCACTCATGCCACCATTTCCTGGAGACAAGCCTGGAGCAAATGAAGCAACCTATATATAAGGGCACAAATATACATCACTATAGGTGTATCTACATATGTTGCTATGGTGATGTTGTTACTGCACCATGGTTAGTACTTTCTTTAGGAACTACTAAAGCATGGCACAGTAACAGCCTATACTGCAATGCGCACGATTATTTTTAGCAGCTAATTTGCCTTAGCGACACACTATAACAGGGGAGCAGGTTGCTCCAGCGAAGTAGCTGCTGGTCACATGTAGAACCCTGCAGATGCTGTCACCATAGCATGTTGCTATGGCAACATAGCGTCACATGTAGACACACCCTAAATGTTTAAAAAATGTGTCCATCAATGCAAAGAAATGAAAAGGCCTTCAGTGGTGCCACTTGTGTTATTACAACTTGTGGCTAATAAAATATAACAACATATGAAAGTTGTTTTTACTACCTACCCAGCTTATTAGCTAATAAAATGAGCTTGGTATATTAAATGCAACTAACACATTTCATCAAATGGTGACCCCCATGCGCTGTACTTCCCCCTTGCCCCAAATTAGCTAATTATGGAGTTTTCTGACCCTTTTTATCTTTTAAGTTTCTCAGGTATGGTAAAAACTAGTTGCATCCTCAAACACAAATGAATTCACTCAAGCACCTATTGAGCCATAAAGTATAAAATGTCATAAAACACCACATTTTTTGTAAAAGAAAAGAAATGTATTTAGAACACCAGAGGTCACTGCACTGGGTTATGGAAAGGAGATGAAATTTGCAACTCTCTTTCACAACCCCACCTGTTTAAAAGATACCACAAAATCTATTATTAACAACAAATTAAGGCTGATTATAGCCCTTTCCATCCAGGACTTTCACAAAGGACTTATGAGCTCAGTAAATGGTTGTACAAGCTAGATGAAGAGAATTTTTTCACACACAACAGAAATGCATTCACCCCTGGGCCAAAATGCAACAACTGTTTAACAACATTATACAACAGAAAATAAAGGAGAATTCCATATGCAGTTGAAACTTCAGGGGAAATTTTTGGCAGGCGGTATGTAATAACTCAATTTGGAATTTGGCCAGGATAGCTGGGTTAATACCCTAGTCTTGCAAAAAAAAAAAAGAGAGCCATGGGATCTTTAGACCCATATTTATCTCTGAACTACATAAAGCTGGTTATCTCAGGATTTTATTATTGTAAATTATTGACATTAGAAACACTGAATCATAGAACTGTGGTTGTTGAAAACTTGGTGCAAAATGGTATAGCTACTTGTGCTGTTCTTTGATGCATCACTTCATTTTGGTGCTTGGTCACACATTTTTAAAGGCCAAGATCACATAATTGAGTCTTGAAGGCTGTGGGCTCTGAAAGAAAATCCTTCTGGATATGCACTTCAAATCTCTTATCAGCACTGTGAATTGGCACTGCAGATTGAAGAGGAAACTTTTGCTCTAAGTTTGCAACTGAACATGATACAGAAACTAAGACTTCTTGCCGTCACTGCTAACAACCAGCAAAGTCCCCAGTAGTGAAAATTCAACTACTGATAACATTAGTGCTGAATACCCTTGACGTTGTCTTCACTTCCTCAAGCAAGTCCTCGTTGCTTTTTTACCTTATTTCATATATGAATTGTGCATTAAGGACTATTTCTGGTTGAATTACATGCCATGAGCGAATAATGGAAAGGTGTGTTAAGGGAGTCAGCATTCAGATCTAATTAGTGCAGGAAAGAAAAGAACCAAGCTTTCTAAAGATTGACACTAAAGGTCCAGCTGAAGAAGGAAAGTTTTCTGCTCTGACAAAAGGAACAAGCCTCTCCATAACACCCATATCCACTTTATGCATATTAAAGCAACTCCATCAGATGATAAAGGGATTTTAGCCCAAGTGGAAACATTTAAAGCGTAGGCTGACTAAATTAAAATACCACATCAATGCTGTTCCATCTGGATGTTTGGTCAAGGTCTGTGCCACTCACGTTTGCCAGAGAGATAACTATGCCTTACCTGGGTCATCTTGGCAAGGTCCAGCGAAGGCCTTTGTTCCTGAACCTCCTCAGGCCGTCGTCGTTTAACTCCAACCTTTTTGTCATTAAGGACACATGGCTGAGATCGGCTGCGGGACAGTCCGTTGGAGCGTCTCATCAGCTCTGGTGTTGAGGCAGGTGTGCTGTTTGCTGAGGGTGGACAATATTCCGAAGAGGAAAACTGATCATGTGAGCAGGAGAGGGACCGCTGCATTTCAACCCTGCTGCTCTCAACAGAACTGTGGTCATTACCCCAGATGTCACCTGCTTGTCCATAGGTGGCAGATTTCCTCATCCCTTGGCATGGCTGACACCCATATCTGCTGCTAAATCCAGACTGGTCATATGATGAGGATAGTATGTTTGACCTTGAAGGTAGGCTAAAACTAGAACTCCTCTGCATTGTGCTGAAGCCATTGGAGTAGCGTTGGACACTTCCCCCACTATAACACCGTCTCTTTTCTACTGGAGTCCAGACCTTTGACCCTAAAGGCCTCCAGGATGTCCTGCAGCTTGACATTTCATCAGAAAAAGAAAGTGACCTGCACTGGCGTTTGCTGGGAGGTGCTGAGGGGTTACCATTGTGGTCACTAAGACTGAGGTCTTTAATCAAGTTGGTCACTGAACATGTGTTAACTGTATCTCTTTGCCATATAGAGCCTTCTTCATTTTTGTCAGGCAGGCAGTCCCAAATGTTGCTGCTAGGTTGCTCAATCTGCAGTGGACATTTCCTGTGCAGTGGACATTGCCTGCTGAGATCTCTCCATCTGTCATTTTCTAATTTAAAAAGAATACAAACATATATATAGACACATTAGCATTAATTACTTACATGATTCATTTTCTGCATCCATTTACTAAGAATAACATGTAGGGCATTTTCTAATATAAATTAAGTAACCCTTAGAATACTGTTTCCATGCTTTAAAGCCATATGATAAGTTAAGGTGTGGATGGCAAGAGATAAAGTGAAAATGTCAGCAGAAGCAAACCTAACTGAAACTGCTTCTGAGAAGGGAGGCAAGGATTGCAGGGGGGGGAGGGGAGGGGGTTTGTTTGTTTGTTTGCTTTTGGTGATACCATTTTTTGGACCAACTACCTGGTTGGGAGAGATGCTGGACAAGATTTAGGGCACAAAGTGCGCTTCCTCAGGTAAGCCTTTGACTATACCAATTGCACAAGCTAAGGAGAACTTAGCTTCATAAAACTTCAGTGACAACTTTATTTCCTAGATCAGAGGTGGGCAATTATTTTGGTCAGAAGGCCGCTAACTGAGTTTTGGCAAGCCATCGAGGGCCTCATGACAGGCAGCTGGGGGCAGATAAATATTAATTTTCTACATATTTTAGGGGCCCTGCAAGCCAGATAGAATGGCCTGGTGGGCCACATTCAGCCCGCGGGCCGCTTCTTGCCCACCCCTGTCCTAGATTAACTACTCCTGAGAATCATTTGTTTAGTTCTGGTCTCTGAAACAACAATTACCAGATACGTTTATCAAGAAATGGTTAATACAAGTACAAAAATAAACAGGTTCACAAGTGTCTAAGGGACACCTAAAATCAGAATTAAGAACCAAAAACCTGCTTCAGCTACCCTAACCCAGTGAAATAAATGAAGCTATGCCATTTTATACCAGCTCAGGATCTGGCTGCAAGTTTTCTTTTGGAATTGTCCTAAAGATAGGAAGCCTTGGTAAAGTAAATGCATTACATTTACTCTGTAAAGTAAATGTTCTAATGCAGGCAGTCATTTACTGGGTATGTGTTACCCATTAATAAAAAAGATCTTAAAGTAAATCATGCAGGAGAAACAATATATAATATGACACAGGCGTAGCTGGGATAATTTTTAAATATAAATGCCTAACATCAGACACCTAAATCCATTAAGAGAAACTTAAATAAGTGGTCTAGTTTTCATATGATAGGTGCTGAAGACACAGCTGTTCTCACTGAAATTTTAACTCATAATTGAAAATACTGACACAACTTTAAAAGTAATGCATATTGTTGAGTATCCTCATAATTCAAAGCAGCCATTCCAATAAGAGTCATGCAAAATACTGATGGGAACAACATAACAGGGATTTTTCATACAAGCCTGAAGGGTATGTGTCACTCCACAGGTAAACCAGTTTCTTAATTACAACACAGTCCAAATCATGATCCATGCAGAAAAACCCCTGACCGAGGTTTAGCAATGCTGTGAGCCCTAGCTACCTGTGCTTCAGTTTAATTGTGTTCCAAGAGATTCTGAGTTCCAGTTTAACTACAACTGGGACCCACCCACTTCGCAGGGAGGAAGGAGGCAAAATAAAGGAAGGAGTGCATTAAAGGTCCTTCAATGCCCTCCCCAAAATTTTCACCTAAGACAAGTTCTCCAGCAATTGATACAATTGACTAAAAAAGAATCACAGCACAAAGGATCATAGCAAATGCCCCTAAACATGCATGGAAAAGTACAAAAAACAATGAAGTCACAGTAATTCAGGGAGGTGATCTTTGTGGTTAGGATGCTTACAGAGATTAGGTGCCAAATATGTGTGTCAGTTGCTTGCTTTAACTGTGAACACACCAAAGGAAATTAAAGACACACAATCCTACTGAATTTCAGTAGGAATTGGATATTTAACACTTTTTATGTTTCTTTGAAAATCTCAGTTGTAAATAATTTCTTCAGTTTTGAAAACTTAATTTAAAGGTATATGTCAGTAATTGTGTTCTTGTTTATAGTTCATTTTTTGCCTCCTGTTCTTCATTCAACAAATCCCACTGGAAAAAAAAAGCAATTTCATTTATCTGACTTGGCCTTTTGATGCTTTTCTAATATATTGGAATAAAAGCTAATGCGATCTCCTGTTGAATACTTCCCCATGGGTTTGTATCAACTTTCATCAATCAACATTTGTAGAGACTGTGACTAGTTCTGAGAACCAGCCTTAACTATACAACAGTTTGCAATCATATTTGAAAATGTACAAATATGGTTATGGCTAGAATGCCATTTGCAACACAACATATCAGAATGTGACAAACCACGTTACAGATCATAAAAAAACAAATGGTTGACCTCCTGTCGATATAGAGCAATTCCTGCTCATCCCAAACAAAAAGATACCCCCATTGACCACCCAACTGAAAAAAGTCATTAAGATTTCTTCTCTACTGTATAGTATGGTTATAGTTACGGTTACGGTTAGCAGGATTCTTTAAAAATATGCCTGTTCATACTCAACAGGAAAGCCTTGGGAGAATTATGTCACCAACAGCCGTGATGGAAAAAAGTCATCACCCAACTGTGCTTGACTAGTAACCGTTTTTATAGCCTGCTGTTGCAGAGGCAAGATGCACGACCATATTTTTTTCAGCATGGTGGAGGAAAGCTCCTCATCTTACATTTGCATACAATGAAACCTCATTAAATACATTGTATATCACTGAACTCCTGCCAAAAGTAGCATGTGCTCAGTAATGAAAACCAACTATGAAGTTGATTAAAGCCAGCCAAGACCAAGCATGACTATAAAACATATGGCCCATATTGGGCAAACATGGTGATAGGAACCTTTTTTGGTGTGTGGCCTTTAAAATAAAAACAAAAAACCCCCAAAAACCCAGGTAGTTGCTCACTCAGGAGGGAACTGGGCCTGGAGGTACTGCTATACCAGGCTGGCACTGGGATGGCCAGAACCAAACCTGACACCATCCCCTTGGGATCAAAAGTACTAAATGAATGCACAGTAATTGCTGGTACTTTCTGACCCTAGTGTGCAGTCACTTGATACTGTGCAGTGGTGGCATCACAGTTTGTGCCTGCTGACACTATGTCACTGTAGTGATGAGCTATGTTGCTATAGCTTTTTGCTATGGTGATGTAGCATCCTGTGTAGTAAGTACAAAAGTACTGCTTAAAAGTGTTGCAACAGTTTTAAAAAAGGTAAAGTGCATCAATTTCGGATGAACTAAATGACTTCAGGCATGTTTATTTCAAATTGCAAATAAATTTGCTCCTCGCTTCTATGTACTCAGGGAGAGGAGTGTCTGATAGTAAAGGGGAAGGGGAAGGGGCTGCGGTGGGAAGATGTTGAGGGACAGAGGACAATGGGGCCACCTGATCCCTCAAGATTTATTTTCCCTGATATATCAGTGCGAAGAGGATAGTTCAAGGCAAATCTCTTCAATAATTAGATTCTATACCTGGAAAATTATAACAATTTTAGGCATTTTCCATATATAGACTCTAATGGGTTATCTTATATTTGAGTAAATACAGTAGTTAAATTCTGCAGTAGTTTTTCATGTGATCAAATCAAAATTGTGCAATGTTTTTGCTTTATACAGGCAACTGAGTGCTTGATTTAAAATAAACTGATACTTGGAACTTCTAACTAAAACCTTACTAAAATAAAATAAGAACTAAAAGTTCAGAGTATTTGCCCTTTTATAAAGATAATTTGAATTCATAAAAGGGTCAAATTTGGGGCCTAAATTGGTTGAAACTGCTTAATGTTTAACTGCAGCAAGCTAGCTTAATTATTTCTTAATCAAAATGGATGTCACTTAGTAGTAACCGCAGAGCCAGTTCATATCTGAGCTATTAATTCATTTCCATTTTAACCATTCCTGTCTTTCTCATTTTAATAAGAACAATGAAAAGGAAAAAAATCTATGCTGAAAACAATTACATCTATGTTTAGTTCTTTATTATTTTCCCCTCTTGCTAATATAGGCAGCAGAGAGATTTCTCAGGTCAAGTCACCAGACAAAAGAAACCAAAATAGAAGCTAATTTTAATGGCAAGGTGCCATAAGCCTCAACCCCTAGATGTTACATTTTACAAATCCTGTAAGCCTGTGCAAGAGGATATAGGATGCCTTCCTCTGTCAACATTAATTCTGTACAAAACAGCTATAAATCTTTAAAAATGACTAAGAAAACCTTATGCATGATGTTACCTTGAGCAACACTTGAGGGTATTTCTTTTTTTCCTTTGCACTTTAGATCAACCCTTGCAAAGTTTATTGTTTACCACTGTAAAGGGTGTTTCCACTTTGCATATGAAATATGCTATAGCAATACCCCTACTGTGCAGTGTCCTTTACAGTACTGTAGCCTGTATAAATGATTCAATGGACATTTAGTCAGCCACGCAGAGTGGGGTTCTCTCTGCGCTGAAGAATTTCAGTATGATGACTGTCAGATGTTGCAGTCTGCCTGAACCCCATCAGCACAGAATTATTGTTTTGAAATATCACATGACAACCCAGGAAATGGCTTTCACAGCAAATAAATGTTAACTTTGAAATCAGTGGAATGCTAAATTGTAAAAGGAATATTGCAAGGGGGGGTGGATTTTAAATGACTCAGTAGCACCCTATAAGGAACAAAAGGTTTTGTAAAATAAAGTGTCTCATCTGCTAAACACTGATAATAATAATTGTAGTGTACCCATTTCTGCTACTGTAGTTAAAGATGTGTTAATTTTTTTTAATTGCAAACCTCTTTTCGGTTTTAGCCGGTAGCTGTAATTTGTTCCAGAATAAAATTTTCAAGAACTGCTCAATTCAAAAGGAAATGGCTTTGTTTAAGAAGACATATTTGCCCATTTATAAATGCCAAAACAGCAACAAAAATAACTTATTAAGCTATTCTTTTGTGCTGTTGCAATGTAATAGATTCTTCATTTGTAGTAGAATATTAAATTAAATACTCTAGGTTTTTAGTCCGCTTACTTTAGGTTTTAATTTAAACAAAAGATTGAACATTAAGATGCTAACA